TGCTCACCAAGGCTACATTTATTTATTAAAATACAATAAACTGTAATATTGTGAAATATTGTCAATTTAAATTATCTATTTGAATGTTTTAACATATAGGCAACTGTATTCCTGTGATCAAAGCTGAAATTCAAAATTTTCAGCATCATTACTCCAGTCTTCAGTGTCACATGATCCTTCAGAAATCATTCTAATATGCTTATTTGATGCTCTAGAAACACTTCTCATTATTATCAATGTTGAAAACATTTGTGCTGCTTAATAGTTTTGAGGAAACTATTTTTTCACTATTCTCTTAGGAATATTTGAAATTGTTCTTTGTTGTCAGAGCGCTGGAGTTCGTCAGAAATAGAACGGGGCATCAGTTTACTGTCATGGATTTGTCGCGTCGCATCCACAGAAGAGAACATCACTGGGTTCTATTTGCTTTTGTCAAATCGCGCCACTCGCGTCTGGTGTAGACACGTTGTTTTGGTATTCGTCTATCTTAAGTATATTCATAATCTGCTTTACGTTTACCTGGCACTGGAAGTCCTTTCTCAAACTTGTAACTTACTTACATGCTTAGAGCAGAACCATGCATCATTCGTTTATTTTTCTACATGGCTGCCTGCAATACAACTCTGACTCTTCAGTCACGCCATCTAGTGGTCTGTTATTGATACAACCACAACTGCTACAACTGATAACGGAGCGCTCAAGCGGGTACTGCGAGTCATGTTAAGGTAATTAAAATATGTCAAATTAATATTTTGCGCTCAATTATTTATTTATCAGGCAAGTGGCCGCATGATAAGCGGCAACATTCCGTAGTGTAGTCTTTATCACCCTGCAGAGATTTCTTTTGCAAAATAATCTGCTGACTGTACACTATCCCTCAGCCTTGCCGCGCCCCCGAGTTTGGGAACCACTGGTCTGGAGTAGGCAATTTGTGCTCTATAAGTTTGGTCTGCTACGATGCTCTACTATGTGTTTGATTACTAATGCCTCTGTAGTACGGCGTTGCAAACAGAGGACAAAAACGTTCAGCCTTGACTCTTTATCGTCCTTTGTGTTAAAATTGGCAAAGCGTACCAAATTGAACAAAACGATATAAATGCAAAATTTGAATTCATGAATATATAACGGTATCCACGGTATAGCAACATCCATATCATGGAACAACATAATACCGGTAGTAGTCACTTTCATACCGGTATAGCGCCCACCCCTACCCCCAGTGCACCCAGTTACACCCAATCCTCTCTGTATTTGAGTGCTTGTAATATTGACTTCCTTATAAACTGTACACAGCAGTACGAGTGAACGCATGCCAAGATGGGAGGTTTTCCTTCTGCATGTGGAAGATGAATTTTTCCCACATTTGTCTCTGATGAGGCCCTTTAATTTGATGTGAGGAAGTGGCAAGTGGCATGCACATGGCACTGTGGTTGTGAGGAGTGGCTAATTAAGATGTCTCTGGGTGTGAAGACAGTTTGCAGTGGTTGTGGTGGTTTGAAAAGCTTGTGATTGTGGTGAGGAGAACATCTGAGATCATAGTTATGTTAATAGAAAATTCTGGATTAATACAAGTTAAAGTGATGTGACATGTGGCCAAGTATGGTGACCCATACTTGGAATTAGTGCTCTGCATTTAACCCATCCAAAGTGCACACACACAGCAGTGAACACACACACACCGTGAACACACACCTGGAGCAGTGGGCAGCCATTTATGCTGCGGCGCCCGGGGAGCAGCTGGGGGTTCAGTGCCTTGCTCAAGGGCACCTCAGTCATGGTATTGAAGGTGGGAGAGAGACCCGCAACCTTTGGGTTACGAGTCCGACTCTCTAACCATTGGGCCACGACTTCCCCCATCAGCATGAAATGGAAATTCTGTTTTCAAAATGCATGTTATTGATCTTATTGTTAACGATTCATCCATGCATAAGCCCAGTCAACAGCATTCATTGATTATCATCACAAAATATAATATAATATATAACACTTACATGAATTTGTTTGTTAAAAAGTGTATTATTTTTTTGAAGGAGAGGAAAATGTTGTGTTAAAATTATGCTGTAAGTTCTGTCTGTTGAGCTTAATTTTTATTCATTCCAGAATATTTTTTATTAGATTTTGAGATATAAACGTAAAGAGGACCTGTTCATTCAAATCATTTAAGGGACTTGCTGTGCAAAGCATGGCCTTTTAAATCTGATTTACTGCTCATCAAAGATTTTTGAGTACTTGTTATGGCTTCAGCTGACAAAATGAAAAAGCAGCCCCCTGTTTCTCAACAACCAACCTGACTCCCCGTGTGCCCAGAGCTCCCAAACCACAACTCCCTGACCCAGCTTATAAAACTAATATCTTTCATTAAACAGGGTCTTTTTTAGTCCTTAGGTGCAAATGTTCATGGGAAAAAGCAATCACTATTTAATGAGCCAAGAGACTAGCTCAGCTCTGTTAATCTTGGCTACTCTATTCAAACAGACGTTAATACAAACACACTCCAAACATTGCTTCATAGACTAAAGGCATTTGGCATGTCTTTCTGATTCTACAAACAGATTTTAAAACCTCTCTTATACTAACAGGCCATGTAAACCTGCTCTGTAATTACCTCCGGGTCTTAGTGCTGCTGTTCTTTTGACTGCATATTCCGGGATTGTAGAAATCAATTCACAATTTAATGTTGCTATTATTAGTGGTGCTTGGCAAAAATCACTATTACTATTGCTCAAACTTGGGGGTCGGAAAGAAAACCCTTAGACCTAAAACCAATATTTGCCTTTACTTTTTCTAATGGATGTAGTTCAGGATTTTTACCTGACGGTTAATGAAATGGGCCAGAAATCCCATACAGTATGTTAAAGCAGGGACTGAGGTGGGCTTTTTTTATTTACTTGGGCCATTAAGCAATCAACTATAATACTCTAGCAACTAGGGCTGAACGATTTTGGAAAATAATCTAATTGTGATTTTTTTTACCAATATTGCGATTTAATATGCAATTATTTTTTTTAAAGCTCTTTATGTTCTGTATTATTCAACAAAGACAAGCTATAAATCATTGTATAGTATGACCAACACACTATTAGATAGATTAAACATAAATGTTCTTTTCTGTAGGCCAGGCCTATATGTTACGATGAAATTAGGTGATGCATGAATTGATATGAATGACATCTTTACTCTCGCCTGTCACGTGACTGTGTAATCGCAGCCTCTGCGATTGAAAAATCGAAATTTTTCATATTGCGATATTATCGCAAATGCAATTAATCGTTCAGCCCTACTAGCAACCACCCTTAATGCCCTATAGTAACTGCATAGCAACATGCTAAAAATAATTTAGAACACCTCAGCAATATAGCAGCATATAGCAATGCCTTGCCAACCCCTAGCATCATGACAGAAACTTTTTCATGTGTAAACTCAGAATAATGTTACAAAAAATGTAGACATCTGTTTTCAAGCAGGCATGTATTTTCTTTCTGTGAATGACATGTGGTCAGGGATTTGTTTGCATGACAGGGATGATAGGGCTCTTCTTTTGTAGAGATCAAGGTCCATATTTGTTGTGTTTTGACTCATATTTTCCAGAGAGGGTTAATCCATGGGTTGGACTTATAGGCCAAGTATCTATTTCAAATGTTAGCTTGTGTGCCATGTCTAAACCTTTCGTAGCCTTTCTTATAATGCCTAGAAGAACCGTTTCCCACTATTCATGTTCTATCAACATTGTCCATTGAATATGTTCACAGGTAAAAATGAACATACTTTTGTCATTTTATAAATCCTGTCTTGTTCATAGAGAGATCATCAGCATAATGGTTTCAAGCACAGTAGTGTGTTCAGTATCTTTACTTTAATGGTCATGATACAAACTTTCTTACCAAAGTAACTTATTTTAAGCAGGTGAGGTGGCCGTCAGAGGGAGATGACTGCCAACAAGAGTTCCAAAACTGCACCAAAAGCAGGAGCGGCTAAAGGTCCACAGGAAAACTCAGACAGGTAACAGTCATGATGATGAGTCAGCAGTCTTTGTCCATTGTTTGTGCTTTTATGGGTTTTTAACAGAAAGCCGATTCACAGCAGAGATTATTCAATTCAATTCAAGTTTATTTGTACAGCGCTTTTCACGATACAAATCATTGCAAAGCAACTTTACAGCAAATTAAGTTTCTACAATATTTAGTGGTAGCTTATCAGTGGTGACTGTCAGTTAATGTACATATGGCAGAAATGTACGGAAAAATCAATTAAATACGTAATCAAACAGACGATGAACACTATTAACAGCAATTATTATATGATGCAATCAAACTTATAGCAAAATGTGGTAGTTCTGTATGTTGTTTCAGGGTTGGCATCATCTGAGGTCCTCTGAGGGGTTGGCATCATCTCTTCTCAGGTGTTCTGGATCCAGACTGACTTGTGTAAATCCTAGTTACCACGGGATGTCAATCCCAGCAGAAACAGAGAAACAAATAGAGACATAATTAGCGTAGCTGCTGTTCCAACCAAGCAAAATTTATTTGTTTAATTATAACTATAACTGTTAAGTTTTACGAATTGCTCTAATCAAATGAGAATGACAATGACCACACCACAACTATAATAATAACAACAAAGAGGAACAATATTGTTGGAATCACTTTCCAGCTCATGAACAATAAAAGCATTGTCAGCTAATCAGAATCCACCCGACTCGAGCTTGAGCATTTAAAGCAGCAGATGACATAACTTCAGTGTGCACTTAAACAATGTTATTATTGGTTGATGTACTGTATGTGTATACAATAATATAGTTGTCATTATAGTTATTGTTCATGGTGTAAACAGGCCTTAACCCTTATTATGATGTGATCTGACAGTAAAAATGAACTAGTTTAATTTAGAACATTTACATTTTTTTTTATTGGTTTTGAACAGTTTCTTAGCTCTGTTCTGGTGTAAATCGATTTTTAAATGAACATTTAGAGCAATTTCAATGTATGAGAAACAAATCTGGACCATTATGTTGGTAGCGATTCAAATTTACTCTGTAGAAATAATTTACTCTGTAGAAATATTTTTTTTGTAAATTCTTATTTAGATGTGAAGCTCTGTATAGTGTGGTTTTATAGAGAAAATACAACTATATGTATAGAGAGAAATAAATATATATATATATAGAGAGAGAGAGAAATTACTAATCATATAAATATTTACAGGCAATGATTTCTTATGATAACCAGAACTTTTATCTATAATTGAGGAGTAGTTGATATAGATAATTGAATCCAATGGTGCTTCACAGGCCAAACTGTTGTATACAAAGCTAATGTAAACATCCTGGTTATGAGCAAAAGCCAGGAAGTTGATTAGAAAAGAGGCTCTGTTCTATTTGTGGCCTTTGCTTAACTATGGGGCTCTGCAGTTGCTATCAGAACAAGTGAAGAAGGAACAGTCCTTGAAGAGTGAGAGGAGTTACTTTCATAATTACCTATGAACATTCTCTGATGTCAGAGATATTTACCAAAGGAGTTTGTGATTTATGTGAAGATGTGTGTGTGTGTGTGTGTGTGGGTGGGGGGGGGTGATGGCATAGTTTCTGCTAGCCTCTCTTCCTAGACATGGATATTTCGGCTTCAGCTGTAAATCACAAGCAAAGGAGAATGCTGAAGAAGACACCACTGTATTAGTCAGACTCAAGTATGACATTTTCCTGTCTCCATTTAATGCAAAGAGGCCTACAGCTTTATCTTCAGAGGACGTACTGCACACGCTTCTTTAATTCCCTGAATTGGTTCTTGTGTATACATGATTCTGATGAGTAAAGTTTCAGGTTTTAGTTAAGAAATAAGAGTTTATTATGCAACTGTAATTGAAGATTTAACACAGATAAGGATATCATAATATAATTTATTGTCATTTATTGTCATTTCTTATTATTATCATTGTTGAAAAAAGTTGTGCTGCCGATTATTTTCTTGGAAGCCATGATAAAAGAAAAGCATTTGTTTGAATTTTTTTTTGTTTTTTTGTATCAATGTAAAAAGTCTTTACTTTTCAATTATGATAAGTTTAATGCATCTTTGCTAAATAAAAGTATGAATTGCTTATAGCGTCTGGACCAATCAAACACACAATATATATTTTGTTAGCTATATTTAACAAATACTCTGTAACACCCCTCAGTTAACAAGCCATATGAGGACCTATGGACCCTTCCCCCGAAATGCGTAACACCTCAGGAGGGCAGAACAGGCCTCTGGTTCCATGGTAACCAACGCTGATATCACTGGGTTTATTGCCTAGAGGAATGCGAAGCAGGGAAAATCACTGCATGCTAGTATCTGGAAATGTTCCAGCGACAGACACTCCTGGACCCCAGGACCGTTTAACGCAAAAATTGATAGTCCGATAAACAGAAAGCGACAGATTAATAGCTCCATGTCCGAGCGAGAAGAATGGCAGATCTCCACCCGTGACAGTGTCATGACCTCAGGACATCTCCCCTCTTTCTTCCTGCATTCCAAATGGGACGCATCCTTTTCCTACTTTCCAGAAAAGCGCGGGTTTCTCCTGTCACAGACAAAGAAACAGAACTTACACAGACAATTCAAAAGACAATAATTTAAAAGTATAGTTGACGAAAGCAACACTAGTCTGAGGTGACTGAAATGAGGTCAGCAGAATCTTTCATCTCATTGCTCAGCAGTGTAAGGCATTTGCGAACATCACACAAATGAACGATGGAATCTCCGCATTCCACCGGAAAATTAACATCTCTTCTCAACCATATGAGAGTCGTAAAGCTGAACCATGGTCACCCCAGGCTCCAATTGTCTCAAATAAGTTCCTGTCCCATTTGGCTTATCTTCTCAAGAGACTCAAAGAAAAGCAGCGCTAAGACCCTAACTCACTCGGAGGATACAAACTATCTTTGTTTGACGGCCCTTCAGGGACCAGATGCGTGATACCCATGACCATTTAACGCATAAATTAATAATCCCGTCAACAAAAGAGACAATTTTATATCTCCACGTCCAAATAGAATAGAATAGCAGGTCTATGACCAGGACCTTTTTACAACCTCCTTGACCTCAGGGTTTTCTCTGTGCTCCCCTTTCTCTAGTTCTCCTCCCCAGCCATCTGCGGTCGTAAAACTACATACAGGGTCAGCTCAGTGTCTCAGCAGTTCCTGTCCCCTTCGGCTTATCTTCTCAAAAGACTCAAAGAAAAGCACTAAGACCGCAATAACTGACCTCTGCATCTGGACTCATTTAAGCAACAGAACGTCAGTGTTGTCTCGTGACTGGCATCAGCATAAATAAACGATCTAATAACCAACAGAACAAAGAACCTAGTATCTGGAAATGTTCCAGCGACAGACACTCCTGGACCCCAGGACCGTTTAACGCAAAAATTGATAGTCCGATAAACAGAAAGCGACAGATTAATAGCTCTAATTAATTCCCTAAGAAAAGTAATCTGACATTACAGCAGTAAGCAGCATCTGTTTGCTGAGTGAACAGTGGGCCTGGGAATGATGTGGAGGTTGAGGTTGACATGTAGGCAAAGAGAAACAGTTGCTACAGGGGACATATGGCTAAGAAAAAATGCTGAGGGTTAGTGAGGGTGAGTTAATTTATATTTCTTAAGTCTAATGGATAAATTGTTTTTGTTTGTGAGGTCCATATAAATGATTTCCAAAGTGATTGTGTGGGGGAATCCATATATTCATTTATACTGTTATTTTGTTTTTGTTGGCATGATGTGGAGGATTTTACCCTGACAAATTTGCATCAGATTGTTGTTGTTCTTTCTCATATTAGACATACATTTCCTTTTATCTAAAATCTTCTCCTTTTGCATTACTTGTAGCATTATGTTACTTGTCCTGTTGACTTTTTCTGTTTAAAACACAGTAACTAATATTTATTAGTGTTCTTATTCATGGTTACTGTTTGTGAGGAAATAACACACTTCTGTACCAAGAACAATTTGTTGGAGGGTTTCTTACTCTTTCTGCTGATTTATTCTTGTTTCAGGTGTCAATCTGTGTCCCCACCTCCAATTCTTACCACTGGAAAAGAGTCATGTTCCTCTCACCTCAGTGGCAGTGAAGACGCCAGTCAGCAGGGAAGGTACGATAAAGCTGACGCTAAACTCTGGACTCAAAAGAACTGGAGCTGTAAGACCGCCAGCTTGAGAAGTGGCGCCTCGCTCTCTGACTTTGAATGCCAAAGCAGGCTCACCAAATCTAGGAGCATTAGCTGTCTGGACAAGAGGCTCACCATCCAGAACCCACCAAGTGGCAATAACCAGGATCAGAAGGAGAACCAGCCGCAACAGGCCCCCCCTGTGGGGGATGGATTGAATCCTGGACCCCTCAGCTGGAGTACTCTTTCAGTAGGACCTACAACCAAGCTTGGGCACAAGCGCACGCTCTCACTCAGTCATACAGGGACCTGCATCTCATCCGTCGCCATACGCAAAAAGATCTCGGAATGGGAGGGTCGAAAGGCGGCTCTGCCTAGAATGAGCCTTTGCCTGGAGAAGAGGCCTGGAGGTGGAAGCGAGTGTTGCCCAAGCCTGCTGTCCTCACCCTGCAGCGAGAAAACCTTTGACTTTAAGGGTGTGAGGAGGATGAGCACAGCATTTTCGGAGTGCTCCTACCCTGAAATTGAGGAAGATGAGCACGTATCGGATCGAGAAGCTCCTTTAAGGTTCCAGAAGAGGCCTTCAAAGACAGAGTCCTCAGGGATTTTCGTCCGCACGCTCTCGGCACGCAAGGAGACCTCAGCCGTGCTCAGCCGCATTCAAAAAATTGAACAGGCCTTGAAGGAAAGTCCCTCTTCGTCTCCTCCACAGTATCTTAGTAATTGCTACAGCCTTGACAAGTCCAGACAGAAGTCTTTCATCATAAGTGGAACAGAGGACTTGGACAGCACTTGTGGCAGCAAGCGGAGCAGCATCTGCTCCGTGGCCACCGAACCCGAAGTTTCTCCAGGGTCTGAAAGACTCTCTAAGCTCAAGCAGAGGTTCAGCATCAGCTCTACCAGGTCAGAGAGCCCAGAACTCTCTTCTGCACAGGACTCTCCTGGAATCACAGTGAACCCTTTGCCCAAACCCAAACGAACATTTGAGTATGATACCAACCGCAACCACAGAGGCTTGTTGCCTGGTAATGGACTAGCTCCCACCACTGAATCTCCACCTCCACTTCCTTCCACCCCAGCACCTGCTATAATGAGAAATTCAAAGACAGATGAAAGCTTGCCTAAGAAGACTCAAGATAGGTGAGAAACATGATTATCTTCCATATTGTTTGAATGTCAGTAGTGGTATGTGGTTTTTAACCAAAGCTACTTGGGGATAAGTGCTTTACTCAAGGGTATAGGGGTAATGGTGATGGCTCATGGCTTGTTCTTGTTGAGGATCAAACTGGTACCTTCCTTTTACTAGCTGAGATCTTATTACCTTCAATTCTGTCTTGATTTACTCACCATCATGTTGTTCCAAACTTGTATGGCTTTCTTCTGTGGAGGGCCAAAGTTTATAAGAATGTTGACATTTATTTTTTCTATACAATTCATGCATACAGTTATCATAGTCTATCAAGATTTAAGGACAAAAAAGTATAATAAAAGTGGTCCATACGACTTGTGTGCTATATTCCAAGTCTTCAGCCATATGAAATTGTTGTGATGAACAAACTGAAATGTAAGTTGTTTTTCACTGAAAACTGCTGTTCTCACATCTAATATTAAGTCACGCATATTCAAATATTCTTAATTAATCATTTTACATTTGTGTATGCATTTATCCAGTTAGCTCCCTTTAAATAAATCCAAACTAAAGACTAGCCAGACAGATTTGTGTTGCACAAAGAAAAAAACATGTCAGCTGTGGCAAAAATGACTGAGAAGCAATGAATGTGTGTACTTCCACTTAGTCGGTTCCCCCACAAAGAAGAGATCATTAATTTTTCTTGGATAATGAAGTGTATAAAACTTGTCCCAAAAATGTTGAAAAGTATAAGGACCACAGGCCAAGCATTTGTTTTGTTGATATAGTTCTAGACTTTGAATTATTGTCTTTTGTTTTTTGACTACATAGTCTCTCACAGTGTAATGGCCTCTAGAGTTTCACAGATTCTTATGTTACAAATCAAGTAAGCAAAATGAAATTTCCTGTCAGGCATTTGACAGCAAGCAAAGATCAACATGGAGATGCTCGTTTTCTCAGGGTTTAATAATTTTACCATATTAGGTGAATTTGTTGCTGTCAAATGTTAACAATTACACTTTTTGTTCTGTGTATGGCACACATCATCTTTTTGCCTTATTTTATCTTTACATTGAGATTCAGACTGTCACTTCTGAAACGGGCAATGCTTAATAATATTTATTTCTCCAAATTTACTTCAGAAATCCAAAAATAGCATCAGCGATAACTTACCAACAGTAACATAAAACACTTTTGAGTATATTTTTAGAAACCCATCAGTGTTCATTTAACAGGGTGAGATGGAAGAATACACAAAATGAAATGTTTTGAAGGTTCAAAGACCTCAGAGACTTCATCTCTTCTTTTTAAGTTGATATAACACTGCTTCATGGTGTTGCTTTTTGGCTTTTTTGAGGGCTCTCATGTTGTTTATAGCTCATATTCCTCATGGCCTTGGCCCTTGTGAATGATCTTTGGCACATGGATTGTTTAGCCCAGTTACTGGGTATGTAGAGCTGCCAGGTTCTCGTGATTGAGAACCCCATGTGCTGGAGCATTTCTACTGCTCTACATTTGAGCCCATGTTTGACATTCCTGTGGCTGGTCCAGATTCCACTATTTAAAGACTATAGGCAAGCAAACAGATTGTGTCATGTTAATTTGGGCTTTCAACTTTCTGGTTAGCTTTTCAGCCATGTTATTGTGTGTATATTTTCATGCAAATACATTTTGGCTTTTTGTAAATAAACAAGTAAGTACCATCTGACCATAGGCAAGAACTATACGAGTGTTGTTCATTTAAGCACCATGCCCAAGCCTCTCTCGTTGCTCGTTGTTTTTAATTGGTGTCTTCCAGAAGAACGGTTGAGCAAATTAAACACATTTAAGTTCCTCATAAGTGAAAGATGCTTTCATGTTCTCTGGTGGTCTGACCTGATTGTGATCATCCAACTGAAAGATGAGCCATACCAACAGAACTACTCTTCACTTGTTCAGCAGAGTCATGTCCAAAGCTGTGGTTTTTCTTTATCTCTGTTTGTTTCTAGAGAATCGTGTGAGTCAGAAGATGCTGTCAGCCTGCCTTCCTCATACCCGTCCTCACCCACAGAGAATGGCACAGAGAACCACAGTCGGCCCAGCTCCAAGAGCACACTCGAGGAGAATACCTATGAGGACATAGTGGGTAAGAACAGACAACAGTTGGTGATAGATCCTGCTTGCTCCCTTTTGATTTTAGGCTAAAATGTAACTGATGAATATGAAAATGACTTGCGAAAACCTGTTATTGTTAGAGATATTTATTTTTAAAACATTTATGGTAAAAATATTAGAATTTCATATTTACAGTGGGTATAGAAAAGAATCACCCCCCTTTAAAATAAGCACATTTCGTTGCTTTGCATCCTGAAATGAAGACGGATCCTGAAGTTTTATCCAGCCATTGAGTGACGACAGTCTGCTATGTATCTCATCACCGCGGTAAGCAGGGAGGGGACCAGAGCATATTACAGTGTCTGACATCGTACTTGCAAGTTCACACACCTCTTTAATGTTATTTTTAGTGATCTCCGACTGGCGAAGTCGAACATCATTAGTGCCGACGTGAATAACAATCTTACTGATTTTATGTTTATCATTAGCCAGCACTTTTTAAATTTGCCAAGATGTCAGGCGCTCTGGCTCCCGATAAACATTGGACTATGGTGGCTGGTGTCTCTATTTTCACGTTCCGTACAATAGAATTGCCAATAACTAGAGCACTTTGATCAGGTTTCTCAGTGGGTGCGTCACTG